CCCTGAAACTAGGACACTTGCAGAATAGTTTCATAAACAGTAAGGTATTGTCACCTCTTTCTGTCTCTTTCCAGTAGATGTCAAAACTGGCAAAAATCTGTTTCTGTTTGGGGCTGGAGAGAAAACTGGTATTTGACGACCCTGTCTGTTTGTTTTCCTAATGACTGTACATCTACTGATTTAGCAGGTTGTCAGGCGGGCATTTGTAACCTGTTCCATGCGGTGACCAATAATTAGAGCAAAACAACACATGGAATGGCCAAGTGAAAATTAGCAGCTGTCAAGCTGACTTGCGTTTGGAAGGAATGTGACCTGAAGCAACTGGCCACATACCTATATATCCCCAGGGAAAAACAAACTTGCAGTTGTCATAAGTGGCTGTTAGAGAAAATACACAAGAATCTGTTATACAGTAGGTGGTGAAGCACTCTCCTCTTTGCTAGAAAGGAAGTAGATGAAACTGCTGTTATTTGAGCAAGCAATGCTTATTCAGCACCTTCTAAGTTGAAATTACCAAAATGTATTGAATATGCTAGACAAAAAAAGTGTGATTCATTTTTATATAATTTCCAAAATATTGATGCTTAAAGACTACATCAATTGTAAGAAAATTTTCAATGACTAGCCACTGCAGAATGAAAGATGCCTATTCATGTAGAGATTGAAGATTTTTGGTAAATGGCACTGCTATTAAGAAAAGTGATGGGTGGTTTTACGGTCTGCAGGAATATGAAAATGGAAGATTCCCAAACAGGAGAGCTACACAGTGATGACAAGACCGAAAAACAGTCAGAGGAGAAAGAAGCAGCAGAGACTAGCAGTGGAGTCACTGGAGTCCTGTCCCATGCCTCTTCACAGAACCACAGAATCTCAGGAGTTGGAAGGCACCTTGAAAGCTCATCCAGTCCAACCCCCCTGCCAGAGCAGGATCACCCAGACCAGGTCACACAGAAACATGTCCAGGCGGGTTTTGAATGTCTCCAGAGAAGGAGACTCCATATATATATAAAACATATGTATATATCTATATGTATGGACACACAAACAAATCCCATTGATTCTCATGCATACTGATTTCCTTTATTTCCCACATTCCCTAACTCCACTGCGATCCACCTCTTCATAGGTTGCCTTCTCCTTCTCCTTCTCCTTATTTCACAGGCAAGAGAGTATGAACACGGTGGAATAGTGCTGCTGCCTGTTCTGGTGCCCAGTTTTTTAATTTTTTAGGGCAAGTTTGCTGCAGAGGAAGTGCTTCTCAACCCAGAGCTGTGGCATCATGCCATGGTGGCTGCTCTGCAGTCCATATGGAACAGCAATGAGCAAGGTTTCAGGTAGAAGGCATCTTCTGCAATTGTAGTCACCAAGCTCCAACAGACAAAGGAAAGCTACAGATTTCAGAAATCTATGTTTGTACCAAATAGGGGCAGGTTTTTGCAAAAACAGCAAAACACATTTTCTTGTGGAAGTAGTTGGTGACCTGTCAAATTTTAAAACCCTATTAACAGTGATTTAAAACAATCAGCCCTTGTAGGGGCATTCAGAACAAACACACAGAAAACAGACGATGTAGGGACATCTTAGCCACTTGGCTTATAAATGGAGGAACTGCTAAATGGCTCTTGCTGCCCTAAACCGGTAGAATAATCAAAGACTCATTCAACCAGTGCCTTGCTGCAAATTAACTTATTTAGATGTTTTACATGTATTTTTGAAAGCCTTCCCAGCAGAATCCCCCAGAATGCTGCATCCTGCCTTAAAAGAAAATTCCAGATAATACCATGTTTAAGAGAAAGGCGAGCAAACTTTCTACTCCACTCAATTAGAAAAAATAAAAACCCACAACAACAACAACAACAAAACGCAAACCAACTCCCTACCATGAAGTAACAGCAATGGGGAGAAAAGTGTAGCCTTCTAAGAATATGACTTAAAGTGAGAGAAAACAGCAAATTTGATCACTGAAAAAAATAAAGGACTGATCTAAAACATGTGTGGGTAGAGAATATATAGTCAAAACCTAACATTAACAACTGAGGAAAAAAATAAATAAAATAAAATAAAAATAAAATAATCCCAAAAAACCTCAGAATAATTCAAATTTAGCTGTGTGCTAAAGAGCAAAGATCAAGGTAAAAAACTACATTTATATTAAAAATGTCAAAAGTAGAGTTAATGGGAGCTAGTTAAAGTGGGCACAAAAAGAAATGTTAAAAAAACCCTCCAAAACAAACCACAAAAGGTCAGACAATGTGTGACAAGAAAGATCTCTTTTGCATTCTAAGTGTATAGGCAACATAAAAGCTGGGTTTGGCTTATGATCATTAATTAGTGTTATACAAGTATGAAAAAATCTGCAGATTAATGAAACCTGAAGAGATTAAACTGGACTTCTTGTTGGTGTAACTCCACATAGGGAGTAAAAGAACAGAAGCATAAGCAAATAAAAGACATTCAGAGGACTGAGTCACAGAGGCTCTGATTCTCTTCTTGCCCCATTTTTTCTTTGCTGAGGTCACTTCACAGCTCTCCGAGAGATTAATCGGGATTTCCACAACAAATCAAGGACGTAGCTGAATGCTGAATGAGTGTAAAATGCAGACAGCGCTAACAATGAAAGAGAACAAAAAGCATCTGTGGAAAACAAACTGAACATAAGTTTGGAGGGTACCGTGTCTGGGGAAAAACAAGTTAATACCAAATTCTGTGCTGTATGTGGAGGGACATTTTTACTGAAATGAGGAAATAATATTTTCTGTACTTCTGGGTTTTTAGGAAGGCTGCACTAGGAACTGGACAATCTGTCCCAGAGACCTCATCAGAGTGTATGTATGGACAATCTGAGACTTCTGCAAAGAGAAATGCCTCTTGTGCTTGAGGGACAGACTTCTCTGGATGAATGAAAGAGGTAAATGTGCATAGTGGGGCTGAGAGCTGACTAGAGTACAATAAAAAGCTACTTCTATTTGCAGAATAAGCAGTAAGGAAAATGGAAATATTTAAGGTTACAGAAAGACTATTTTGGTAAAAGTAGCATCCAGACAGACCATGAGAGAACCACTCTTGCTTTGAGATATATTGGATTTTGAGCAGTGAGAAAACAAAGTGGCAGAGCCTGGACCTTAGGTATTTCAGATGATAACTGTGAATCAGCTGAGCACCGCTGATCAGGCAGCTGACTTGGGCTCCCATCAGATCACTGTCAGGATGTGGACACCAGCTTCCCATGGAAGACTACCCAAGTTCAGAGTCCTTCATCTGTCTCATCCCTTTTTTTAAGGAAGACTACCTTTATTTTCTGTTGCAGAGGTAAGGAAATATTTTGTTACCTTATGTGAATATCCATGATGATAAATTATTACTGAAAATCCTAGGTAAAATTTGTAATTTCTTTAAATGCTTGCTTTTGAAAGGCTCTTTCTAGCTATTACTGCTTTAAATCTGAGACAGTAACAAAAGGCTTAATAAGATTTACATACAAAGCACAGTGAACACAAAATTTTGTCTGTGTACTGAGTTCCAGATGACAGTATTTCATGTCTTTATAGTTTCTTGAAATCCAAAGAAAAAAGTCAGGGTGCTTTACAAGGTATTACGTACACATGCCCAGAAATGCAATTACTGGGTAGCAGTGGGTGGGTAGCGGCTGCTTGGCACATCAAGTGGGTTTGCGTATGTACTGGGAAGGGATGACTGAGGGAGCTGTAATAAGTAGAGCAGGTTTGAGAATACAGGTTAAGGTATGGCAAATGTAAATATGCAGCCTTCTCACTGCACTGGCAGACAGTCTAAGGGCAAAATCCCATGTAAGTATAAAGCAAATATTAAGGGCAAAGTGCAGTTCTGATATATAGTATAGGTTCACCATCCATGGCATTGCTGAGGTCTAATACCTTGTACATCTTTACAAAGAATGTCTGTAGTCCATGATTATAAATACCAACAACTCCACGAGCAATTAGATTATGTACGGGAAGATTCAGGGCTTGAAACAACTTTCTACCTGAAGGGAACAGTTGTCTGCCTCTCACATCTTGTGACAGTTTTTCCAGACCTTTTTTCATTGATCACCGTGACTGTGTCAGTACTGAGCTTGTGGAAGTGAACACCATGTGCCCGCGACACTTGTCTGCGTTTGGAAACTTCCGTCCTGATGTTTCCACAGCTCAGCTGATATCCACCTTGCCACTCCAGCCTGCAAGGACTCTTCCTGCTAAGCAGCCTGCCTACAGCACATGCAAGAACACATTTTCCTC